TTTATTGTTCAGTTGATAATTTTCTTTCAAAAATCATGAGAGCTGGAAGTTGATAACTTTGTGAGTTATGAGAGCTTCATATCTTTTTCTAAATAAAAGGCAGAAAGGCTGAGCAGTTCAGCAGCAAAGATTGTTTCAGATGATAGTTGGTAACCATGAGAGCTGGACAGTTGCTAATTACTAACTAGGAAAATGTTTAATTAATAATTAGGAGAGCTTTCTAACCTTTACTGCTGAATTTAGGAAGTAAATATACAGGTTTTTTTCTGATCAGGAATATTACCTATACTTTTATTTTATAGGAACTTTTTGCGGCGGACTTGCAGGAAATTTTCTACATGTAGATCTACATATCAAATTATGCGTCAAGGGGATTTTTGCCCGACTAATAAGCAAAAAAAGCAGAGTTTTTTTAATTTTGGTAATTTTTAGAAAATGTCTAGTAAAAATTTGGCTTTTTTGAGAAATTTGTTAATTATTTAGAAAAATTTTTACTGGATGATAGAGAAAATTATTTTTCTTTAAAAAACTTCTTTCACTCTTTTAAAAAGTGTTTTTGGTTTTCTTCAGCGATTGCTAAAATTTTTCTTTCTTCAGAATAAGTTAGTCCTCGGGAATATTCGACTGATAAATTTTTTAAAGAAACTTTCATAATTCCGCTAGAACCTTCGGCGTGAATATGGGGTTCTTCTCCGCGATCATGCGAAGTAAAGAAAAAGCGAAAACCTTTCTTCTTTTCAAAACCTTTTATCGTTGGCATATTTTAGCAGCAACCACTTTCTAAGCCTTCGGTAAATACCCGTAAACTTAGATCTTCGTCCAATTCTGGTCAGTGAATATGATAAGCATCTGGTAAAATACGATAGTTTTTTAACTGTTTTAAAGTGGCTTTGCGTAGTCGAGTAAATCAAGTAGTTGGAACAGTTAATTTGCGTCCATCTTCTAAAAAAGCGGTAATTTCTTGTTTGCTACACTCTAAGTTGGAAACTCGGGGTTGATGCTTGTAGATAATTAGCGGTTCCTTTTGTTTATTTACTAATTCTTTGGTTTTCATGGTAACAATATTACTTACTTTTGGTTGGTTTTTTACTTGCCCAGCTAAATTATCTTTATCACTGAATAATAAAGAGAATATCAGTAGTAAAAACCTTTTTAACTTATTTTTGAGAGGTTAAATTCATATAAATATTTTTATTTCTTTTTACTAATCTCTTTTTTTAGATCTTCACTAAACTTTACCTTAGGTACTCGTTTAGCCGGAATAGACATTTTTTTCTTAGTTTGGAGGTTCATGGCTACTCGAGCAGCTTGCAGAGTGGTTTTCACCGAAAAATAACTCGGGAACCTTAATTCTTCACCTTTAATCAGTGCTTTCTTGGTTTCTTCCAAAAGTTCACTTAAAACCGTTTCAATTTGGATTTTAGAAAGAGAATGATTTTTACTTAGATTAGTGCTAATGCGATCAGTTAAAATTTTCTTACTGACTAGTTTTCTTTGGTTATTGGATTTTACTGGTTTTGCCATATATTAGTTATTTTTGGTGAAGATTATCCTTAAATACTCCTTAATTCCATTTCTAACTCTCCTAAGACTATTTTTTTCATTTCTTCTCTAACTTTTTCCATACTCTTGACAGAGGTGTTTATACGACCAATATCTTTTTCTCATTCGCTAAATTGCTTTTCTAATTTCAATAAATAAGTAGGTAATTTCTCTTTTATTCATTCTTCTCATCTTTTAATTCTTTGTTGAGGGCTTTCACCACTGTTGATTCTTAAGCGACTAAAAATTAACATTCTAGCCATCTGACTAGCAAAAATAAAGTTTTCTTCATCACTAACTAGAATATTTTGCTGAGGAGTAGGTTTTCAGATCGGATTACCTTTGCGACAAGAGGCTACTAGAATACCAAAATTAGCTTGTTCTCCTACCATATCCTTACTTAATTTATCTAATCATTTATTGTCTCATTTATCTTCATTCTTAATTTCATAAATTATTTTGCCGACAGTTTGGTGGTTTTCATTATGAACTACTTGGAGAATATCCGCCTTAGTTCCCACATGGGTAATTTTGCTAATATCATCGGCTCCATTATAAGTTTCTTGGAGTTTTTCAGCAATGTATTTTTCTAGTTCTTCACCTTTTTCTTTACTTCCTTTAGTAGTTCCTAATTTATAG